TGTTTTGATATATAAGTTGTTTGGGTTATTTCATCTAAAAAAAGCGGCATTAATTTCTTGACGAACTAATATATTAAAGTCATCACCTGATGATGCCACATTAACAGTGGCGAAATGTTGTTTTTCTTTTTTATGATGCATTTTTTTCTATCCCATTTTAGCTGTTTTTGAATTTTAAATTTTGTAAAGTATAGGATACTTCCAACATTTATATCAAAATGTTATTTGTTAACTAAAATAAATGCAATTACTGGGTTTACAGAATATATTAAACTGTTAGCCGTGCGAAAGTAGGCCCAGCATGGCCAGGTGGTTAGGGCGCACGACTTGCTATCTGAGGGTCGCGGTTTCCAATCCCCGTCCCATCAAACATGCTTGCCCTGTCAGGCGTTATAATGTTACGGTCAATCCCACTATTCGTTGGCGAAAGAGAAGCCCAAGAGTTGGCGGTGGGTGGTGATGACTAGCTGCCTTCCCTCTAGTCTTACACTGCTATATTAGCGCAGATAGCCCTAGTGTAGCTTTGCGCGAAATCCAAAACAAACAAACAAACCGTGCGAAAGTTTCTACGCATGCTTTAAGTATGTAACAGTATTAAATTTAACGTGGTGACAAATACATCGATATTATTCAGTTAGGCGCTTATGGGAAACTACATAACTTTTGTTTGTTTTCTTCTATTTCGACAAGTGTAGAGACAAGAATGAGAATCTGTCTGTGCAGTTTGGAAAGAGGGAAAGCAAAAAAGCACACACACCGTACATTTTGTAAACTATTTATTTAATATGCTAACTAAAGTCAAGATACTGATGAGGGAGGTTTTGAATACAAGCAATATTCTATGTTAAAGCCACAACACACGCAATTCTTGCATGATAATACTGGTAGTTCCGCTTCTTTTAGTAAGGCACGTAATTTACAGTTTCTTATGGTGTTGTCGGATTTGAGACTTAAACCAGCTGCAACTGGAACTTTTTATTTTGAAACCAGTCACAAAAAGTACACAACAGGCCATTCCATAAATGAAGAACATAGTTTACTCTTGAATTTAATTAAACGCGCGTCGCAATTCAGGAAATTCCTCCTATTTAATATTGAAGTTGTGAGCAGAAAACGGCCTTATTTTTATTTTTTCAAATTTTCAAGAATTTGTTTCTACAACAGGTGTTTTATTTAGTTAAAAACATTTTCTAGATGTCACAGTGAAGCACAGCACTTGTTAACTAACAAAAAGGTTCTAAATTAGATGAAGATATTTCATCATAAACTTGCTTCTGGTTGGTTGGCATTTATTGGTGCAAAGCAGCAAGGCTATCTGCACCAAACAACCAGTAAAAATGCCGCAAGTAAAATACAATAAAATGTAAAAAAAAAAAGGGGCAATAAGTTAAAAGCGAAACAGTACCCAAAAATTAGGTAAAAATAACTAAATAGAAGTAAAAAGATCAATGACCCGCAAAAAGCTAAAAACACATTCAAGTTGGACAGTGTCACCATCACCAATGACACCGTCCAATGTTAGGGGTAAACTCTTAGATAATACATGTCTAAAATGGTGCCGCCGCTGACGTTCGCAACAGCGGCACGAAAGTAAAATGTGGGAAATTGTGACCTGAGTGTCACAAAGGCCACACATTGGCGGATCAGTCCCACATAAAAGAAAACTATGGGTTAAAAAAACTGTGGCTAATGCGTAGCCTAGCCAAGACAACTTCCTCTGATCCTTAGAGAAACTAGATGGCCAAACAACAACAGTGAGTGTAATCCGGAAAAGCTTGTTATAAAGTTGTTCACCCCAAATCCACTGCCAATTGGTGTGAAGTCGGGCCTTGATCATAGGATCATAGTCCATATATGGGACAGGTGCGGCTGTAACAGCACCAGAGCAAACAGATTTAGCTACGGTGTTAGCATGCTCGTTTTTTAGAATACCGACATGACCATATATTTAGAAAAACTGGATAGAAACAGATGATAGTGAGCCAACTGTTTCAAAATCTCTAAGAAAACAGGTTAAGCGATTCCAGGGCCAGAAGAGATCAAAGAGACTCTGTGTAAATAGTACAGTCAGTGTACTACTAAGCTCCTACGTGATCCAAGGCAAGAGAAATGGCATACAGAAACTGTAGAGAGAATTATGTAATCAATCATCGAGCCACAACAAACCATGGCAGAGTCCATAAAATCACTCAATTTCGAACCATCCGTAAAAATGGAAACAGAAGAATGGTTCAAAAGATGTTCGGCAAAAAAAAGACGGTACTTCCAATCTGGAGTATCCACCTTCAGATGACTCAAAGAAAAGGTCACAGGTGGGGTATGGTAATGAGCCTTGGCGGGATGGGCTGATCATTGGACTCAGCAACGTCATCCAATGTCAGACTCAATTCAGTCAGCTGTGCCCGGGTACGAAGACCAAAAGGAGGATTGGCAGACCATCTATTCCGAAAGAGCACAGCCCACCGAGGAAGGAACCCCAGGTGGGATCTCTTCCACCTCTTCCATCCTCTGTGGCCTCTCTTCCACATCTTTGGGTGCGGATAGATGTTCCATGCTCAAGATCTATCGTGCCTACATACGATTCAAGCTGGACTATGGGTTTATGGTTCTGCCAGGCCCTCTGCATTGAAGATGTTGGACGCTGTACATCATCTGGGGCTTCGGTTCTGCATGGGGGCTTTCCGCACTTCGTCAGTCCAGAGTTTGTACACTGAGTTTCGTGAATCTCCTCTTCTCCTCCGCAGTTTGCAACTTTCTCTACAGTATACTACCAAGCTTTGATCCATACTACAGCAGGCCACAGAGGATGGAAGAGAGGACACGGAGGATGTTCAGTGTCCTTGTACACTTGACACGAAGCTGCTTAATGTGAGAAATGAAAGCAAGCTTCTGGCAAGAAACTATGTTAAGACTAAGTGTAGATACAGAAAATACAACGTATAAAAGAACAAAATAAAAATTTAGTAAAGACGCTTTCAAATAATTTATTTAATCTCTCAACACGTAACATTATTTATGTTTTTTACTAGATAGTTTACCAAACTAGTTGACCCAAAAATCTCAAGCACATAAAGGATTAAAAAAAAACAGAGAAAAAATAAGAACTTTATTTTTTTCGTGAACGTACATTGGCGTGTTAAACAGTATAACGCATAGAATTCGGAGACTTAAAGCACGTTCCTTCTGGTCTACTTTTAGTTACTGACCACGAAATGCATCAGAGGATTTACTGTTCCAAGCCTTAAAATGAAAAGATGTGGTAAGAACATCAACGTAATTACGTCAGTTTGTTTCAATATCTGCACTCATTGTTTTTTTTAATGTGGAAAACTCGTGTCAGTATAACCAAGATGCAATAGAAATTTTAACCGATATTTTAAAAAGTAACAAAACAGAACCGGTACATTTACGCATCTGCAAAGTTCGTTAACAGTTAATCTCGACGAACTTCTATTACCATATACTAAGAAGTATGGCGTTGATTACACGGGTTATTATTCTTAACCAGAATATTAGTCAAGAGTTTATTCGGAACGTGCTCACGTTATACAGTGATCAGTCACATTTTGTAACTATGATCTGTGGAATATAACACTAGACTCAGAACTTAGAAAAGTCCACTTCCATATGGATATACAAGTTCATGGGTAGATCAGAGATCCTTAGGGTTCAAGCACAGCCGTCCCTAATTTGGAACTACTGACCAGGAGAAAAACAGTCGGTCAGCAGCATCCATCTCTATAAGAACTTTGTCCAGCTTTGACGAGTAATTATAGATTACAGTAACTAACATCAACATCATCCCTTATTCCACCCATATACACTTCATGTTTATGGCAAAGATACTAAAGGCTATTTGAAATACTTAATTTTGAAATACTGACCGGAGAGAAGAGATTCAGTCAGCAATACTTACCACCCACCATCCACGGTACGTGGTTGGCTGTCATTCTTATAACACACCCACAGGCCCGGCATGGCCAGGTGGTTAGGGCGTTTGACTTGCAATCTGCGGGTCGCGGGTTCGAATCCCCGTCCCACCAGACATGCTCGCCCTTTCAGCAGTAGGGGCATTATAATTTGACAGTCAATCCCACTATTCGCTGGTAAAAAGAGTAGCGTAAGAGTTGGGTGTGGGCGGTGATGACTAGCTGCCTTCCCTCTAGTCTTACATTGCTAAAATTAGGGACGGCTAGCGCAGATAGCCCTCGTGTAGCTTTGCGCGAACTTCAAAACAAACAAACAAACAATATATAATCCCGCATCTAATTATTAAATTAGGCTTGCGGGATTTTTTTCAGCTTAACAATCTATTTAGTTTCATCTTATAAAATGAAAAAAACAAACAAACCTATTTTCACTGAAACATTAATATTAAACGAATTGAAATATAAGAATTGGAGGCACGGTAAACAAGTGCTAAAAGCATACAATAATTTGTAAATTATTAATTTTCAAAACATAAAAAATCCCTAACCACTACCAGTTAAATAATTTCTGTTGTATAATATGTTCAATATTCAGTCTTAATATGAATAGCTGTAAGTGATTACGTTTCGACGTGACAAAAACTATTAAAAGCCAGATACATCCCAATGGCCAAGGCGAGCGAACTGACTCAAGATATTTCGTAGAATTAAAAGTTTAAACAAATGTGTTTTACTGAACTACCAACCCAACTTCTCACCACTTTAATTGAAAAAAAAAAGTATTCTATAAACACTTGTCTGTATTAGTGTGTGTCTTTCTACGAGAAAGGCGAAAAGTTTGCACTGTTTCGAACATTCTATTAGAAATGTCCGTGAGTATGCAATAATATGCTTATAACTGAGAAAGAATTTGTATTACAGCGATTGTCAAAAATATTATTTTAGCAAATAAGATAGAAAAACAAAAGTACTTTTTAATCGTCCTCATTTGAAGTAACAACAGCAACGAATTTTTCGATTTTTTTAGGCCTAAAGGCACTTTGGCATATACGTCATTTAACCGTGGAATTTGCGAAAATTTAATTCAAGTCGGTATGCGAGCCACATCAAAAGAAGCCGATGCCTTAAAACACGACATAATACTTTCCACAAGTTACTAAATGACACGTACGCATGTACACTTGTCACACAATTAAAAGAACACACGGATGGCCAGTGCAACATAATTTTGCTTGCTAAACGGGACTCAGGGTCGGTCTGGACGGGTCAAAGTTCTGAAACTTCCACATCTGTCGAGTCTCAGATACGCTGCATTCTCGCATCAACAGCTTCTGTCGATCCTCTGACATTTCCAAACATTTTCGGCTACTTCCGTGTACAAGTAGATGTTTCTACAAATTAAAAGAAAACCGCAATTCCTCATTTTCAACACTAAAGTATCATGTTGCTCAATTTTTAATTATAAACAGAAAAACAAACAAACTTAAACTACTTTAAACATTCTAATTATAAATGAGTTTACTGTACAACCTCGTGGTAATCAGAGTATCTATAACAAGGCTAACTCAAACGGTGTTCGCTCTGTAATTGGCCGATGGAAAATGTTGTCATGCCTGGGCACTTTGCATGCATGAAGTGCGAAATTGACAGATGGGAGCGTTCATGCGAGAACTGTTTAAATATTTGAATAGAAAAATACTATATTATGATTAAATACAACGTTTTCACTACAAGGAAATCAATAGATAATGTAATATAATCTCAGTTTCGCCGGTCAGAATATCAAAGCATATCGCGCTCACTAGGAAGCCTTTATATCAACGAAAGAAAACATTGATGTGTCATGAACAGATTTAAATTTTAGAAAATGTTACGGGGTGTTAAAGGAACTACAGTGACAAAGACCATTCGTGAAAGAACAGTGTATCCATCACATTAAGACCATTGTTAGTCCTAGAATATATGGGAATTTTAATGACAGAGAGGCTTGGTGAAATATATAGAATAAAAATTAGATTATAAATACGGATGAGCCAGTCAGTTGGCGAAATAAACTTGTGGAGTGAATCAGTGAAGCATACATAGTTAATTAGTCAAAAAGTGTTTGTGTTTTGTTTTCAGTTACTTGATTGATCAGCTGAGAAGTACAAGCTACAAGAAATAAACTAATTTGTTGTCGCTACGTGCACTGGATTTTGAATTATTTTCACCAGACGATTTCAAAACACTCGCCAACAAAAAACATCGTTACAACAATACACATTATTTTGTCAAATAGCTAGTGTTTTGCACATCTAAAATCAGTAAAAATATATATCTAGATCTGTTAAATTTTCTATATATATATATATATATATATATATATACATTAATTATTTTTAGTTCATAATAAATAAACAGAATGACTGTAATGGACGTTCTTAATATAAGCCTAACGCACAAGTAACTGTACCAGCATATAAGAGATAGATTTAAATAAGGAAATCTAAAATAGGCCTAGTATGACTAAAAATGAAGTTTAAGCTACTGCTAAGCCACAGTAGAAACTCATTAGAAAACAATACATTTTAACTCTTTGCTAAAGTCTAAATCATACTGATTAGAGCTGGATTTAATTCAAGGAATATGATTACGTCAACTTACTTGTTATTTGTGCTGACATTATCAGCTCCAAGCCTTATTAGTGAAGCCTAGATCTAACAATGTAACATTAATTTTATTGAGGCAAGAGTAATGTCAGTACAGTCTTCATGCATGGAAACTGGTGAACGAAAACTGTAGCATCAGTACAGTTTGACACACATTTCATTATATACCTTTCTTTATCTTTTGGGGAACCCGAATAAAACTGTTTCTTTCTTTCACTAGTATCTACATAATTCATTGCCGAACATGACAATGACACATGTAGTCAGATATTCTATTCCCATAGCATGAATTCTCTACTGCGATTTCACGAGAATGCATCACGTGGGATAGAAAAAACTTCAATGTTGCCTTGAAAGCTAGGGAACAAATCGCATCAATGTTACCCGGTTATCAAAGTTATTATTATACATACGTGACGTTGTTCATTTGATATGCATTGGCTTCGGGAAACAGATGCTGGTCACTCTCACTCTTTCAGGGCAATAAAATGATTAGTTGCACTCATAACCAACCTATAATTGTTCATTGTTGAACATAACAGTAGCGTACGTAGGCCTATAAATACCCTTGGACAATGATATTGCCCCCCCCCCCAAATCCAGTTCTCCTGCGAAAAATAAACGGCTGAAAAGACACTCCAATAATAATCACACAAATACAATTTGTCAGTTAAAAGTTTACTTTCTTACAACTTACAAACACAAAAATACAAAGTATTCATTTATTATTACTCACATTACAAAAAAATCCCTCTACTGTACCTTTTATTCCGCACATATATCAGTCACAGCTTTGAAATTCATTTTTCGTGCTTGTTTCTATTCAATTGATAGTATTGTTGCCCCCTTTCTGGTGGTCTTGGTACATTGTACTTCTCAAGAGGTGTTGGGATCTCTAGCTGGGCCTCAAGAATTACCTTTCTATAGGTGGGCCTTTCACGAGTTGCATCTGTAAGTCATATGGAACCCTTGGTCGCAAAAGTGTTAATTTTATAAATCTCAAAAGTCCACGCTTTATAAGGCGGACCCCTGGGTACATAAGGTATTATTACATTTATACACCACCAAGTAAACCTTTCATGAGTTTCGTTAAGCGGACTGCTGGTGCTCTGTAGCAATGTTACCTATATGTACTACATTACTCCATCTAACGTATCCCATGCTTCCTTTACTTGACAGTGTAACTTTGCTTTCTGAAAACTTGGCAGCGCTAAGATAAGTAAATTACCACAAAATAACAGGAATTATGCCTTTCTTTATTCTATACACCCAGCGTTTCCAATTCTGAACTACTGACCAGAAGGAAGACAGCAGCTGCGCCTGCCGCCACAAGGATTTTATCTATAATGCACCCACAGCTTAAAGTAGCGAATGTGTCCAGCGGCATCACGACATATAGATTCTGGACCTTGGTATCAGCAGTCCGGTTTGCTAATCACTAGGCTGAGAAGCCCTAAAACAAAAACAGCCAGAAAGAAAGAATATACTCACATCTGGATCATAGATCCATAACTGATTTCCCTTTGAACCATGGCAAGGATAGAGAATAACGTCTTGGCCAGCGTAATCCACACATGCCTCATCACGCCGTATCTCACCTTCTTTACTCAACATCCAGAACTAGGAAAAAGAGATTTGTTATTCAGTATAGTATAAAGAATTCTCATTATTAAAAAAAACGTTTATACTCCGATCTAATACATGATACGACCTCTAATTATTAGAATAACTTTTGGCATGTTGATAAAATCGGGATTTAATTCAAAAGTCTGAGGACTTATAACGCTAAAACTTCGCTTGCGATACTTGCGTGGGCAGAGCAAAAAATAGCCCATCGTGTCGCTTTGTTCTTAATAACAAACAAACATGTTTGGTTACTAGCTACCTGCTGTAAAACCTGGTAATTTGTATTAGGAAAAAAATTAGTTAAAAATTGTTATCACTTCTAAACTTAATATGGAACATTCTTGTATTCATCTTTAACTTAGTGTTATGTTCTGAATTAAAACTAACCTGATTACCACCCTGTCCGTGACAGGGGTACAACCCCACAGGCTTGTGGAGGTCATCTCGTCGGGCTGGACTGTCAAGACACGTGTTTGACTTGTCACCCAAGTTTCTAACCTATCAAAATAATATTAAATATTATGACAATTTAGAATTTAAAAAAGTACCATATAATTGAT